ACAGAACATTTAAAACCTATTCCATTCCAAAAACATGAGTACTAAATAAGTTCTGAACCAAGTAATGTAAAACAATCAAATTATCAAGTTCACAAAATACAGAAAGGTTTAATTGTTTTTCTTCTAACCTCAAATAAACAGATTAATAAACACAACATAATAGAATGTCAACATACAGGCCCTAAGAATACTTCATTATAATGAAAATCCTATGAATGTACACCTCTCCAAGATACAAACCCGATGCCATCGAGTTAATTCCAACTCACAGCTACCCTACAGGACAGACAAGAATGTATATTCTTCTCAAGTACACATGGAACATCCTCCAAGATAGATCATACACATTAGGTCAGAAAACAAGTTCAATAATTTTAAAAAGATTTAAATCATACAAAGAATGTTCTCCAAACACAATGGAACAAAATTAGAAATTATTAAACAAAATTTGGAAAATTTGCAAATATGTGTAAATTAAACAACACATTCCTAAAAAACCAATGTATGAAAGACAAACTCACCAGAAAATACTCTGAGATGAAATGAAAATGAAAACACAACATACCAACCCTTATGGGCTACAGCAAAAGCAGAGCTCAGAGGGAAACGTATAGGTATAAATGTTTCCATCAAAAAAGAAGCTCTCAAATCAAGAGCCTAACTTTCCACCTAAATAAATAGAAAAAGAAGAGCAAAGCACACCCAAAGCAAGCAGAAGAAAAGAATAAAGACCAAAGCAAAAATGAACAAAATAGAGACTAGAAAAACAACAGAGAAAATCAACAAAACCACAAGTTTGTTTTTCAAAAGATCAACAAAATTGACTAACCTTTAGCTAATCTGACCAGAGAGAGATTCAAATTACTAAAATCAGAAATGAAAAATGGGACATTACTACCAACCTTACAGAAATGAAAAGAATTATAAGAGAATACTATGAACAATTGTATGCCAACAATTTAGATAACCTAGATGAAACAGACAAATTCCTAGTAACACACAAACTACCAAAACTAATTCAAGAAGAAACACAAAATCTGATTAGACCTACAGTAAGTAAAGAGATTGAGTTAGTAATCAAAAAACTT